ACGGCCCCCTTTACGTGGAAAAGGCTCCGTCACGCGGTCCCTGTAACGCTTCCGCAGGGCTCACGGGAGCGGCGAAGCAGGCGTGCCGGCCGGCCGGCGACGGGGTCTCGACGAAACGCGACTGGACCGCCTAAAGCACGCAAACAAGAAGGGACGCTTGGCGTCGCACCAGAAACTGAGAGCCCAGCGATAACAACAGCCTCCCTCCACCGGTCAACGCTCACCTTGCCCACTTCACCTTGACTGCTGCTAGCTGGCTCTATTTCCTAAAAATAAAGACAAAGAGGAGACCTGTAACACAGTGACCGGTTCCAGTTGCCCTGCAAAGACAAACATTGACTTACCTTCTTGGGGGAACCCCCTTACCCTGGCTGGGGCTCTCGGCCACCGATTTCATCCGTCCGCATCTGAAAGAAAGCTGAGACAAAAGTCAAAGTGCTGCAGGGGAACTTCACAGCTCCAGACATCTTGTGTTGATCTAGGAATATGTTCTAGACCCCAACTCCACCCTACATCACAAATTTCAAATTACAGGGGCCTGGGACTTGGCCTTTTACACCTACAGCCAGGCTGGGCAGCAGGGCAGAGCAGCTCCGGGACAACTACACCCAGACACCCGTGACACACCAGACAACAGACGAGGGGACACAATGGGGAGACAAAACTCTGGGCCACAAGAACGGCCGCAAGGACTGAGAGAATGCAGAACGAGATGAGCCGGGTGAGAATGAAGGCGAGCTGATGAAGCTCGCAGAACCCGGGAGGAAGAAGATGCTGACGGAATGACAAACTCCAGGAACCGCCAAGACGGAGGCCCAAGAATCTTATGGCAGCAATCCTCTACCTATCTTTGCGTTTCTTCAAGTCCTAAGCCGCAACAATGGATCCTCGCGGTGCACGGCTGTTGACACAGCTCGGAACAAGACGTCTAAAAGACATCCGATCGGATGCTTTTCAAAACAGATGCGATTCCAAGGCCTCTGAGAGCTCCTGAGGCAAAGCTTCAATGGCGTCGGGCCGAGGAGCCCAGAGATCAGAGATGCTATGAGTGACACTGGGGTTTCTAGTAAGCCCCCAGAAGGGATAAGGGAAGGCACATACAACACAAGAGGCACAAAAAACACAGAAGGCACGATGGACAAGTGACACGACGCACCCCGAGGCTGCTCTGTCCTGCACACCTCAGCACTGTGAACAAAAGTGAGGCTCTGCCACCATGTGGCCTAAGGGGCCACAGCCTGGACCTCCCCGTCCCCAAAGCTGACTCAAAAATCCCAGGTCACAAGTCCCGACCCGGCACCCCGCTTTCATCCCCTCTGCGGGTCGTAGCCTTTGACTCAGCTCTCGGATGCCCGCTGGGGAGGATCCACACGGAGCGCCAAGGAAGGCCGCCTGGCTATCTGGGAAGTTCCTGCCATCGCCAGGCTGTCGTCTCTCCGTCAGCTACAAAAAATAAAACAGAAAATCAGCAGCTGATCTTGCTGCGCAGGGCATCGGCCAAAACCCAACAATTCTGCTACTCACGGTGTCCTGCGAACAGCCGTGTCCTGAGGCCGCACGATACGGCCACGCCGGGACCAGACACTGTCATCACAGGGCACGCCTGAGTTAAGAGAAGAAAAAGTGATGTGGCATTGCTGAGACTTGAACAGGCCCTCGCTCCTCCTCCCGACATCCCCAACTCACGGGAAGCCCTCGGCCCCTTCCTGAAGGCCAGCTACACGGCCCCTTTACGTGGAAAAGGCTCCGTCACGCGGTCCCTGTGACACTTCCACAGGGCTCACGGGAGCGGCGAAGCAGGCGTGCCAGCCGGCTGGCGACGGGGTCTCGACGAAACGCGACTGGACCGCCTAAAGCATGCAAACAAGAAGGGACGCTTGGCGTCGCACCAGAAACTGAGAGCCCAGCGATAACAGCCTCCCTCCACCGGTCAATGCTCACCTTGCCCACTTCACCTTGACTGCTGCTAGCTGGCTCTATTTCCTAAAAATAAAGACAAAGAGGAGACCTGTAACACAGGGA